CATTCTTGCAGTACACATTCAGGCATGTATGTCAAACAATGAATCTCACTCAGGCTTCATCAAACTGCAGTACACACATTTCAATTACACATTCTTGCAGTGATGCAATGCATTTCTTACAGTATACATTCAGGCATGTATGTGATACAATGAATTTCACTTTTGACACATGAAATGAATCTCAGAATCTTGCAGTGCCCAGAGTCTCAAAACCCAAATTTCATTTTTCGAATGCAATTCTGATAAGTTCTTGTGATACAAAGAAACTCATAATATAAGTCAACTTCAGCTCATATTTTCGGTTCTTACTGAAAATTCAAAAAATACAGAAATTTTATCTGCCGATTTTGATATACCCATGTAAACTACAAGTAAAGTGGCTTCGACATACCCATGTAAACTACATATCAGAAGCAGCTAATTTACCTGCCGATTTCGTTTCGTTTCGTTCTGGCCTTGGTCTGAACCGGAGTGGTGAAACAAGGCTTCTCGGGAACTGAAATTTCTGGTTCAGACTGGTTCTCCGTTGGGTTCGGTGTCAACTTCCCGGTGACAGAATATTCAGAGAATGATTCTTCCACAAAATGAGATAACCACTCTAAATTCTCCAAATCCTGCGCCTGCCATACAACATACCCCCTTTCTCAGTTTTCTTTCTTCGAATATAGCTTCCAAAACCGGTTAATTCAAAAAAAATATGCATAAAAATTGAAACTTGGTCTCACCGGAACGCTTAGTTCGCTGCAATGAAGAGTCCCAAAATCATCTTTTACAAAGGAAGCACTGTTAGCGGAGGGAAGAGAGAAGAGAGGGAGCTTCGATCGCCTTGATTCGCCTTTGATCACCTTCGATCCGTAGACGTCTGAGAATTGGGGAAATACAATGCGTTGGGCCGGGGTGTGCGTTCATGCCGGGTCTCCTTTCGTTTCTTTTTTTTTGTCTTTTTTTTTTCCTTTCCACCTCACTCTATCAACCGGTTCTGTCAACCGATTTTGTACGAGTAACAGAACCGAAACTAAAAACTGAAACATGAAGAGAATAGCTCCTTAATTTCCCACCTCATTTCTCTCTATATCTCTACATACCCATCTCTCTCTCACATTATAGTAGCCGACATTTTGTTCCAGTCGCTATTGCTGTACGACACGAATCAATCGATGAAGCAGTGACATCGTACTGCTACGAGGGTAGATAGCGATAGAGATGAGAAGCTTCCATTGACCATCGATGATGAGAGAGCGGCTATCGTATGTGACATTGTAAAATGCAGACAAAATGCTCATCAGTAAACTGAATATTAATCAACGAAGCAGTGACATCGTTGAGGATCTCAAGGTACTCAGTGTTGGGTATTAGGTTTTGATTGTTGGTGGTAGAGGATCTCAGAGCGCACGCAACACAATGTGCTGAGCTACTGCTACGAAACTGGGGATACTGTAGATCGATGGTGTACTTTCTTCCAAATTTCTTTGTGGTCGGCACTGCAAATCGAATGTGCTGCTTGTCTTCCATTTTTTCTTTGGTCACATGTGGCTAACTTTATAGATCGGGTGGAGAAGAGAATCAAAGGAATGGTTGTGATTGTGGTGGTGGAAGTGCGCATGGTGCTCGCGATCTGGCGCTGGATGTCAAGATCTGATGGTTCATTCGCATTGTTGTAATGGTGTTTTTTTGTGTTACTATGGTGGTGGTTTTGCGTTGCTGTGGTGTGTGGTGGTGTTATAGTTGCTGTAGTGGTGGTTTTGCGCAATTTGATAAGGTGGGTGGTGATGGTGGTGGTCGTGATAGTGACAGTGGTCATGGGTAGGATGGGGGGTGTTTGTGATTAATTATTTGGTTGATTATAACCAATAAATTATTTAATTTGTAACCATGTGGCCTAAAAATGTGATTGTGACTCACAATTTATTAAATTGTGATCGAGAAATGACTTGTGACCAATTAATTTGATAACTTGTAACTTATAAAGTTTGTGACTTATGATCGATAAATAAATTGTGACCTATAAAATTTTTATTGTGATCGAAAAATAATTTGTGGTCTATAAAAAAATTTATTTGCAATCGAAAAATTTTTTTGTTTATGATCAAAAAATAATTTGATAATTGTGACTAAATTGTATAGAATTGAAACATTAATATATTTAATTAATAAAGAATATTTTTAATTAATTATTTCATCAATAAATTTAATTAATATATGCTCAAAATTAAGGCCAAAAATCAATTTTAACCCAACAATTTCAGCCTATGTTCGAAATCCAATTCTCCAACTTTAGTGAAAGACTCCACGGTAATTAATTTATGTCTTAATTAAATCCAC